TTCAAAGAGCTGAATGTAATTTTAGGACTATATAAATGTAATGACTCCTTAACTAGGGGCAAGGAACTCAGTGCTGCCACTGGATAGAAACAAGGTGACAGGCCTGCTAAAACAAGGTGGAGGGCCGGATTCGGCCAGTGGGCCTTGTGTTTGCCACCTGTGGCTTAAAGCCATGAATCCACCTCCTAGAGAAATCTGCACATCAGTGTAAACAAAATTATTCATGGCATTTAAGAATCCACAAACATGTTGAATGTCTTCTACGTATTCTATGTTAAAAACACGTGTTCTAAAGAACTATTTCCCTAAAATAAAGATTGTTTAATACTTAACTAAGTTGCTCTCCATGAAGATTTGTTCAAATGGGAAGTATGGTTTTGGTTGTTTCATTTCTGAATTGACTTAATATTTGCTTATTGAAATATTGAAGTACTAAAGCCACTTTTGGCTCTGTGAATCCTTGAAAGATACGTTTTCTGCAAAATGTGAGTGTGTTTACATTACAAATGCTGAAACTGAGAGAAGCACCTGCTCTGTTTGAAACAGTGCCTGCTGGAATGGGGTATACATCAGAATTTGGGGAGCAGAATCAGTTTACAGAGTTCACTATATAGGATTAGATGGAAATTAAATTTAGTTTCATTAATCATAAGGAGTCGAAACATTAAAATGTTCTAAGTATTATCTTCTAATACCATAAATAAAATTGGGATGAGTTATTGTTTCACATAAAATAATAAATCAAGAACACAAAAATGGCCAGGGATACTTATGACTATTTTTTCTGCCAACCATCTCAGTAGAAGGCTTCTGCTGGTGGTAATGGTTTGTACATGGTTTACTGGAGTATTTATCTATAGCAATAGCTCAGCCTCTCTGCAATATGTATTTTGAAAAATATGAATGGTCATCATGGTAGACAAAGGATATTTGGTGCTTTCCTTCAGTAGTGTATGTTTAGAACAAAAGGCACATGATACATATATATGATTACATATAATATATATTCTATGCAAATGTAAATATTGTATGTGTATATATTTATATAAATGTAAATATGGCTGTCTGGAAAAAGTCCAGCCATTTTCAATATCATGAGAACAGTTTATACGACATCCGTGTAACTAGCAGCCAAGGAGAGTAAAGTGGAATGCACATGCATGAGCAATAATGACTTCACTGGACTACTCAGTGGGGGCAGTAGACACCGTTGAGTGAGCATGTGCACTGTGTGACTGTCACATTCCAAATGACTGAGCGAGTAGAGCAACAAACCTGCATCAAATATCAAATTTTGCATTAATCTTGAACATTACAGAAACTAATCGATGATTCAGAAGTATTTTGGGGAAGATGCAATGAATGCAGCACAAATAAAAGTATGGCACAAATGCTTCAAAGGTGGTCAAGAATCTGTTGAAAGTGATGCATGTTCTGGGAGGCCTGCCACAAGCAGAACACCTGAGAGTGTTGAACGTGTAAAGGCTGTAATCAACCAATATCAGGGACTGACAGTGCGAGAACTAGAAGTTGATCTAGGGACTCCAAAAACTACCATGTCCGAGATTTTGATGCAGAATCTTGGCATAAAACATGCTATGGCAAAATTATTCCATGGCTTCTGCTACCAGAGCAGAAGGAACATTGTGCTGTCGTTGCTAATGACTTGATTCAAACCGCTATCAACAAATTAGATTTCCTCAGAAGTTCATAACCTGAGATGAATAGTGAGTAGGTCTATGCCTATGATCTGGAAACAAAGGCCCAATCATCCCAATGGAAGTCGCCTGGTTCTCCACATTCGAAGAAGATGAAGCAAAGTTGCAGCAAGATCAAGACCACCTTAACTGTATATTTTGATTGGGGAGGTGTTGTCCATCACGAGTACACCCCTCCAGCCCAAGCAATTAATAAGGAGTACTACCTCAATGTTCTTCTTCAATTGAGAGATGCAATATGACCAAAATGGCCGCAGCTATGGACAACTGGTGATTGGCAGCTTCATCACAATAATGCACCCACTCATGTATCACATCTTGTGCACAGTTTTTTGGGTTGAAACATCAAAGCACCCAGGTGACTCAGCACCCCTACAGCCTAGATTTGGCACCCTGTGGCTTTTGGCTTTCCCTAAAACTAAGATCACCTTTGAAAAGGAAGAGATTTCAGACCATCAGTGAGATTCAGGAAAATATGACAAGACAGCTGATGGTAATTCCAACAAAAAAATTCATATTCTGAACAGTAGGAGAGATGCTGGGAGAACTGTGTGAGGTCCCAAGGTACCTACCTTGAAGTGGACTGAGGTGTCACTGTCCTATGTACAATGTTTCTTGTATCTTGTATCTTCTTCAATAAATATCTCTACTTTTCATATTACATGGCTAGATACTTTCTGGACATACCTCATTGTATATTACATACAACTGTTTGTTTTTACTTCTCAGATAGACCACAGAAGACTGATATTTTCAGAGAATTTTTAAAGGATCTGAAGTAAGTATGAATTTCTTGATCAGTGTTTTAAAGCTTTTTGACTGAAACCCTGAGTAAGATATACACACGACCTGTTATACTGTACATATATGTAAAAACAATTTCATAGAAATATACTTTTGCTTACTATCTATAATATTTAAATATTTAAATGAAGTGTAATATACTTGAATATTTATTTTTTCATTATTTCCACTTCATTTTAATCTATTTTATTTTAAAAATTTCTGTATCCCTAAATTGTTTTCACAACCCTGAAGGATGAAAAGAGTTTTAAAAATCCAGCTCAAAGATAAAGGTTCTTAAAATGTGGTGTGTGAAAGAAATTTCCAAGGAGTTCTTTCAAATGCAGATTATCAGGCTCATTCTCAGAGATTCTGATTCACTAGGATGGTGTGCAGTTCAGGAATCTGCAGTACTAGGAAGCTTCCATGATCATTTTAATGCAGATTAGTAGAGAGAGTTTCCATCTATCAATAGTAATCTATGTTCTGCCTTTGCATTAAGTTAGATCTGCTGAAAATGACACATTTGCACCAGGCCATGTTGGCCTTCAGTTGGGTTGCTTTTACTGACACAAACTTTGGAGACTTGTCCTCAGTTTCCATGGAAGAGTGCAAGAAGAAATTTAATATTGCACTTTCGCAGGCATGTCATTGAGACCAGAGTCTTCATAACACAGCAGTGCTGCTTCTGTGAAGCTTCAAGTGAAATTATTTTCAATACTATGCACCAGAGAAGGCTTCACTTCCTTTAAAGAATTGTTATTTTCTTCTTATTATCAAAGAGAATCGTGTAACTGACTACAGTTTACCCTTGAACAGTGCAAAGGTGTAGGGGAACCAACCTCCCATGAAGTCTGAAACCTGTGTATAGGTTTTGTCTCCCCCAAAACTTTACTAAAAACTTACTGTTGACCAGAAGCTTTGCTGATAACATAAACAGTCAGTTAATGCATATTTTATGTTATAGATATTATATACTGTATTCTTACAATAAAGTAAATTAGAGAAAAGAAAATTTTAAAAAATCACAACTCATTTTCTATCTCTGTTTATTAACACAAAATACCACAATAATATGTTCCTATGGTATTTTATTTAATTAAAACAGTGGTAGGCAATAGAGTTAAATTTGACTGAAAAGTTTATTAGAAATATATTTTGGTCTTAGAAAATATACATTGTGATTCTTTCAAGAATTTGAGTCTGATGTTTTGGAAAATGAGACCAGAGATCCCTATGTTGACGACAAGCAGCAATTACTCAGATGCTTATGGATGTTTGTTTTTGTGTCTATGTCCCAGCCCCTAACAGTTTTAGATAAAATTTCTACACTCAATATCAATGATGACTCTTCAATATTTTCAAGTGATCCCTCTATGCTAAATTTTATCTCTGGGCTATGGAAGAAAGAATTAAAATAATTTTTCCCCCTAGAGACTCGCCTTTCATTCATTTTGGCCCGGCTCAAAGCCTTCACCATATTGACCTCACTTGCATTCCCATCTTTTCCCAGTCTCTCCTTCTTGATGGAGTAACAATGGCCCATTCATTTGAACAATTGGTTGGTAAGGGATCAAAGAAAAAAATAAGAAGAAAAGGATAGTCTTTAGAAGAGTGGTCTGGGAACTCTTTATAATCCAGTGAAGCAATGAGGCATCAAATCATTACAGAAAAGAACTGAATGTGATCCACCCTCCCTCTTTATTCTACAATCTGAAATACTTCCACAATCTGTAAATATGGTCCAGGTTTTATGTTTAGTATTATGTGCACTCATACTTCTCTCTATGGAAACACGAGAAAAACATGCTTTCTCCAAATCTGAAAGCTAGGAAAGTCTGCCCAGGTAGAGAGGTATTATTTATACAGCAGTATATGGAGATGTTTTACTTCTAATAAACTATAGACCCAGGTAAGAGAGGTTTACATCATTAAGTTCTAGAACCTTAGAAAATATATTGATATCACATAGAGAGAATTCTAGAAATAACTTTCCATTTTTTGATAACTAAGCACCATCATTATGAATATTAAATATCTGCACCTTTGTAAAAACAATTCCCTGTTTTTAAAATTAAAAATTCAATTACAATTGACATACAATATTATACTGGTTTCAGGTATGCAACATAGTGATAAGACATTTATGTAACTCACAAACGGATCAATCAGGTAAGTCTAGTACCCATTAGACATTATTCATGGTTATTAAAATATTTCTATTTCCCTTATGCTGCTAGTTTATATCTCTGTGACTGTTTTATAAGTGGCAATTTGTACTTCTTAACCCTTTCACCTTTTTCACCCATCCTCTCAATCCCCTCCCACTGGTCAACAATCAGTTTGTTCTCTGTATCTATGAGTTTATAAAACAATTTTCTCTTGTTTGACTGGTAAGTAGGTCTTATACTAGTAAACAGTAAAAATACTATTGTTTAATAACATACTAAATTAATTTTCTAGGGCTATCATAAAAATAATGCAGACTGTATGGCTTAAATAAAGAACTTTATTTCTCACAGTTTATTTCTCTTTCCAAGTTCTGGGGGCTAGAGGATCAAAGTGTTGGCAGGTTTTGGTTTCTGCTGAGGCCTCTCTCCTTGGTTTACAGATGACCACTTTCTGGCTGTGTTCACACTTACAGGGATAATAGATTGGATTATGACCTAGTCATCAGCCTCAGTTTAACTTAATCATCTCTTTGAAGACCTGTCTCCAGATGCAGTCACATTCTGAAGTATTGGGAGTTAAGGCTTTAATACATGGATTGTGGAGGGACACAGATCAGCCACTAACACAAACCTGTTGTTAAATTCTGACAACTAGAGTTATAGCTTTGAAACAACTCAGGAAAAGTTTTGAAACAACAGAAGTGTCAGGAAGAGTTGAAGGGAAAAAGGCTAAATCATTCTTTCCTTTAAAAAAGTATTTTTGAAAGTTACTATCTTAGTCTGAGCTTCCCCCCAAAATCTCACACTGAGGACAAGGCAGTTAATTTGGGAAGTGATCCCAGGGAACAGGAGTGGGCGACTAGCATATGCAACATAGAGGAGGAGGAACAACCAATACAAGAGTACGTTACTGAGTCTGTCGCCACTGTGGGCAACTGGGGCTCAGTCTTCCTGGAACCCTCTGGAAAACCATGTAGAATGCTCCTTGGAATATTCTCCTGGAGAGAAAAAAAGAGGGCAAGAATTACATACTCACTTCTATTTCCCCACTGATGAAGATTTATCTGCTAATTCTTTCACTTCCAGACTGTCCATGTGTAAGGGTGCCACAGCAAGATGTCAGGCAGGCACAAGAGAATGTGGTGATACTGACATGAGGAGTTGTCAGGTCTCATCTGTGTGAAGGTCATTGCTATATAGACAGCTGGAGTGAAAGGTAGGAGGAGAGGGTATAAAGTTGGCACAAGAACTATCCAATTTCTTGGTCATTTCCTCCACTTCCCCCTACCAGTATCATTATTATTATCATTAAGATCATCATTGGCATCTTATTATATATTGATAAATATGCCTGAAATATTTATAATTACTATATGCAGAAAAATTTTGCTACAACATTTAATCCTAAACTCTAGAATTTGGAACACAACATTTAAAATTATGTTAGATGCTTGTGTATATTCTATATAATCAGAAATGTCATCCTAACTATGAAATCTGTTCATATATTTATTTTAGCAAATATTTATTGAGACTTCACCCAGTACTAGAACTATGTAAGGTGCAAGGTTTAGAAACAGAAGTATGATCTTGCCCTTGCTCCTAAGGAACTCACATAGTAACAGTCAGGTTTATTGATTATGATCAATAGGAACAATAGACACATACCAAAGGTAATTTATAGAGAGGACATGGGAGGGCCACGTGCTTGAGAACAGGTGTACGAAGAGGCAGTAACCACAGACACTTCACTCGGTGGAAAGGTATGTGTGCCACTATCCCAAGTTGGATCTGTGTGGTTAGCAACAGCTGCTAGGATGGGTGATCAATTTCCACCTGTTTCTTCCCTCCCTTCATGAGTCAGTCAAGATTCAGAGCCCCTGGAGAGAACACGTAAGAGGCCAAATTTAGTTCTCAGGCCTGTTGCTTGGTTCCTCAGCGTGGAAGGGAGACCTGTTTTCTTTGGTTTTTCTCTATGAAGATGGAAAGTGGTCTCTCCTACCCAAGACCACCCGAGGCCAGTGAGGAAGATGCTGTGGTATGCTGGAACTGGTTTTACAGTTCATGGGAGTCAACTCTTAAATGTTCAGGAAGTTTATGAACGATTTATTAAATACGGTACTTATTCAAAATCATATTCACTTAGAATGAAATAAATCATATTAAAAACAAATACTCAAAACCTACGACTTCCTAATTACTTTGTGACATTATACTATCATTTATGTTCTTGAGGTAACTTACATCTGCTGTGGCTCCATAGTGGAGCTATTGTACAATGAGGGGCCACTGCATGACTCTTCTCAACTCCACAGTCAGTGACATCACGGTGGTAGCTGGAAACTGGCCAAGGAAAGTGACTGTTTTACCTCATAGAAGTTCACAGGTGCTACACGGTATGACTTGATTTATTGCTTTGTTGATTGTTTAAGACTTAAGAAGTGATGGAGAAATGTAAATACTGCAGATTAAACTTAAAATTGTCATGTGTGCAGCTATTTAATTGTGGAGAGCACAAAAATAATGAGGAAATATTTTTCCAGTATTCAAATACTATTATCAGATTTAGCAAAGAGTTACTTATGTCACTGATAAACAAGAAAGTTCTGACACATATCTTTGCTGTTTCACTTTGCCTTACTCACTGACATACAGTAAAACACCAAGAGCCTTTACATTGTAAGTATATTCTTTCATCCATTGCACTGTAGCTTGGCTATAAGAGTTTGGCAAAAATCAGTAAATATATTCTGTGAGAATTAATTGGCTATATGGACTTTATAATGAAGAGATGAAGGATTATATATTTTATTATTTATAAATTGTTACATGTTCTTTATATAAGAAAAAATTATCATAAAATATATATACATACCTATGTGTATATATATATATATATATGTATACATCTCTTCCCCTGGAGAACCAGTTGTTAGACATTTATCTGCACACCACGGGGTGGGGGTCATTCTCCAAAAGGAAATCAGGATGCTGAGCAGCCAAAAAACATAAATAAAAAAGTCTCCCATGACACACATAAACAGGCAATTGTATAACAATGAATGGAGTGTACAGGAAACAATAGAATTCAAGGAAAAAATAATGTAAGTATAGAGAAAAAAGTGAAAGGAGAGAAAGGAGTAGGTTGAGGGTAAGTCTAAGATGAAGGGAAGTAAATTGTTGATCCTATATTTCAATTGTGAAATATGAAACTAGATTATCTTCTATGAAAGTGCAGGGATGAGATGAGAAAGGGGATTGATGAGACTAGCAAATGTTTAGAAGAGATTTGAAAGGACATATTCGAGGGTGCTATATTTAATTATTCTCTGTAATGCCCAAAGAACACTTTATATATATAGTAACTTCAGTTAATATTTGGGGATTGGGCATGTAAATATAGCATCGTGTTATGTGGTAATCCTGGATTCACATTTACTAGCTCAGTGACATTGGACAAATTAATCCCTTGGTCCCTCAGTTTTCTCGTCTGTAAAATGGAGATGATAATATTAGCTAATTGTTGTGTAGCTTTGAGAATAAAAATGTTTTGCATGTGTAAAGCCTTAGAATTGGGGGCCAGTTAGCAGCAGCTGCTGCTTCTGCTTCTTCTGCTTCTGCTTCTTTTTCTTCCTATTATTATTATTTTAGTTCCATCTTTTCTTCTAATGTTTTGACTTTTCCATTAATAATGGGTCATCAGTGATTACTTCTGTTTACACTATGTCTCCCTCTTATCACCTCCTTTTTTTTTTTTTTGGTGAGACAATGAAAAATGGCCCTGATGACAATCAGACCACAGTAGTCTCCACAGAAATAATGCTAAGAGGAGGTCATCTTCAAGGCCACAGAAATGACTAACCAGCCCCCTCTTCTGACTAACATGAATTATTATATTGCTACTTCTTTATCAATGGCCATTCCAGGCTTGCTGTAACCTTCCCATCTCTTGACATGTTAAGGTTCCTAACCACTGTTTCCCCTGCTTCTTGAGAGCTTCCAATTCAGAACTGGTTCCTGCTTCCTTAGCTCCTCCACAGAAGCATCCAGCATAAGCTCAAATCCCATAAGAAGCTGTTCTCAGCTCCTCTTTATTGAGACACTCCTGTGGTTCCTGTCGGGGTACAGTCTCCCTTGCTGCCACAAACCGAACACACTCAAACTTTAATGAGTGTATTCTTGGTAATCTTTGGTCTGTCAAACTCAACAGTAAGTAGTTGGCTGAGAAGATCGAAAACCAGTTAATTTGTTAAGATTTGTTTACGGAGAATGACTATAATTTTTAGTAAGTTGCTAAGAGAAGCAGTATGTTGCCAGGGGCTGGAAGGATGAAGATCCACCTGTATTACATTTCCGTTCAAACTGAGTTCTGGAGACTTGAGCAGACACATCTTCAGACCATATTTAAATAATACCCTCAATAGCTAGAGGGCGCCGTTCAAAATTACTTCTGCAGTGGTCTTATCTCTTTTGTCTCCTTCAATCTGGGAGGGCTCCTCAGGCTTTCCTTGACTAGAGATCCTGACACTTTTGAAGATGATAGGCCAATGAGTTTTCAGAATATCCTTCTATTTGTATTTGTCTAATATTTCTTTATGTTTAGATTCAGATTGTGCATCTTTAGCAGGGATATTGCAAAAATGATACTCCACTCGGCCCTGGCCAGGTAGATCAGTTGGTTAGAGCATCATCCCAATATACCAAGGTTGTGGGTTCAACCCCTAGTCAGGGCACACACAAGAGTCAACCAATGAATGCACAAATAAGTGGAAGAACAAACTGATGTTTCTCTCTCTACTCCCCCCTTCCCCCCCCCCCTCTCTCTCTCTCAAATCAATAATTTTTTAAAAAGGTGACATTTCATTCTTTTCTTGTGCTTTATCAGGTGGGCCACAATTTCATTTGTTTTCATTGCTGGCGGTGTTCACTTAAATGGTTTGAACGAGGTGGTGTCTGCCAGGTTGTCCACTGTGAAGTTTCTGTCTTCATTCTCAGTTTAATAAGTTTGTTTGTCCTGGAAATGGTAGCTTGAGATTATGTAAAATCCTTTTTCCCACAATAGTTTCAATTTATTTGTTTGCTTATTTACTTACTTATATAAAATATGGACTTGTGCTTTCTATTTTATTTTATTTATTTTTAAAGACTATTTTTAAGAATAGTTTTCAGTTTACAGCAAATGTGAGAGGGAGGTACAGAGATTTTCCCACATACCCCCGACCCCATATATGCATGGTCTCTCTCATAGTCATCCCTGCCAGAGTTGTAGATTTGTTACCCTTCAATTATATTTAATGGGCTGTAGTCTGTTACTTTGTATTTATTCTGACCTTCAAATTATCCCTGACTTGGCCAGTGGAGCCCCTTCCATCTGGCTTTTATGGTTTTTGATAATTCCCTATCATTTTTTGAATACTTCCTCACTTTCAGATACAATAAAATATTATAGGCTTATCTTGTATTTTTTTAAATTTCCCAGCCCTGGAATCAGCTATTTCTTCAAAGAAGCCCTGTTTCCAGTGGATAAAGGTCATTAGAAACCAAGATCTGGGAGCTAGGTGTGCACAATGCTTTTGACCTCATCATAGCCTCTATGACCTAGGGAATGTATATACACAGGCACATACACATCTATTTTTATTTCTCCATCTATCATGTAGATAATTTTATAAAGTCCTGAGTTTACACTGAAGACTTCAATTCTAGTCAACACCACAGGATTCCTTTCCATAATCATGAATTCATTCTCTGGCAGTGAAAATCCTGTACCATTTTCCTTAATATACTTGTTTATTGATGAATGTGAATGCATGTAACTCACCAACATCACTGTCTCTGCCCCTTCCCTCCCAGGCGTATCCTCCTCACCGAGCTCAGGTTTGAAGTCCTCATTCTAGGCTGCTGCCATGTGTCCTCCGCTGTGGGCACTGGTTTTGCTCCCACTGGGCTCTTATACCCCACACATGGCCACTCTCACTTGCGGAAACCTACCTTTCAC